AATTAGTGAAAACTGTTTAGCGAAGTGAGCAAATAGTACTGATTTTTCTTTATTCTTTTTAGCTTTTCCTGTATAGAAGATCCTTCCAAAGCATATGGCTTTAAGCAGCTGTCCCACTTTTGGAACAAGAATGGCAAGAGAACTATCTGAGAGGAAATGTGCTAAGGGATAAAACGAATATGTTTCTGCTGCTTTTCCTGAAGTTTCATTCTTCAGTGTCTATTTTTGTTTGTTGATATTACACAGAAATTACTTGAACTGGAAAGAGCAAAAACTGCCAAGGAAGAAACTTGAAAACAGTTCCAATATATTGGAGTCTCACACAGGATACACTTTTGGTATTTGTTACTGCTGATCAACAAATAATACCAGCTCCTCTTCTGGAATGTGTTTGCATCATACTCTGTAGTCTCCGATGAGTAGAGTCATGTGCCCACTTCTGTGGAAAGAATTATGGGTAAACATAAAAGTCAACTTTAATTGATTCCTCCCTCTTTGCAAAAAAAAAAAAAAAGAAAAGAAAAGAAAAAAGAATATAGTATTTGGGAATATGGCTGCTCAATCAGACTGGGCACTTAAAGAACAACCAGAAACCAAGAGACCTTTGCAGACCCATGATGGTCAAGGATCACAAGCAAGAAAAACATTTTAGTTGTTTTATGGCACTGTGATTTGAAATTAGTTTTAGGAAGCTGAGATTTGAGCTTAGGTGTTTGTTCTGTTACCATAGCATAAATAGTTGTTAACTGCTACATCTCAAGCTATGTAATTGATTTTGAAATAGTTGTATAGGCATTAGTCCTCCATAAGCAATTTAGTTACATGTTTGCTGATTTCTCAAAGTATACTGATTTTCTAATATAGGCTTATTTATTTTATAGAGCTCTCTTTAGGTCCAACCTCCTAAAGGTTCTACCTCATGCCAGCAGTGCCACATCGTGGGGACTAAGCCTTCAACATACAGGTCTTTGCAATACACTTATCCAAATCACAGCAAGGAGTATAGGGATAACCAATTCTATCCAAACAAACAAAGGATAACTTGGCAGAAAAGAAAAAGGCATTCTAGGCAATAGAAAATAAGTCATAATGGGGCATAAATGTTCTTGTTTTATTGTTCATAAAGTAATCTAGTCTAGAAAAGCATAATGTTCATAATGTTAATAGAAGAGAGTCATGTTTCCAATTACTTTCTTCATTTTCCTCTTTTCCCTTCATTTCATAAATCGTTTCTGCTTAACATGTTCACTCCAAATATTGTTCAAAAACTTCTCTAGTCGGGGTCAAAATGATTGTCTCTCAATAAATCTTTTCCTATCCTGGGCTCTCCAATGTTTCCAATATGAAGCCAGCTGTCAGTGTCTAGAGTTTTCTTTGTTCTGTCCTGATTTTTTACATAGCCTTTGAACATATTTGGTCCTCTCACACAGGTCTCTCCCTCTCCTTTGCAGTTGCAGTAGTTCAGCTTCTCCATATCAAGCTTGATATGATTGCAGGGCAGAGGTGCCCCCATATACCCTGAGATCTAGTCCCCAGGTGTGGTGAAGGCGCATCTAGCAGTATACTTGGTTTGTCTGTGACTTTCAGAAATCTGGCACCCCAGAGCTGCCAGAAGAAATCCCAGGTCTGCTGGTGAGGTAGTTGATGTAGTTACTGGAGTAGCTGCTCCAGTAACAATCCTCTCCACACACATCCACCAAGACTGGTCTGAATCTTATTAAAGAATAGTTCATCCCAGTTAGTATTGTTCCTGATGATTCCACTCTGAACTTCAGCCAGCTTGCATTTTGCTGCAGACTCCAACACCAGTGCTTTAATGAAGTGTCTGCCTGGCTGAAAATCTTGTTGTACATCCAGTTCAGCAGTTGTAGGACAATCAGGAAGATGGTAAGGTGTAGAGCCTTCATGTCATCATAGGTAGATGTCTCCCTGGAAGAAGTCAACACACCTTCCCTGGCAGTAGAAAATTGACTGGATTACTCTCTAAATATGTGAGTCAGCGGCAGGAAGGACATGAGCACATCATCCTACCTCAGAAAAATCACTTTGTCATTTTCAGAAAGCCTAAGAAATCAGCTACCATGTTCCGATGGATGTGAATCATACCTTCAGGGTTCCCTGTTGCACCATTTGTGAAACACACTAAGGAGAGGTCATCAGGCTATGGGATCACAGGAGCATGGTGATTCACTCCATCACAGTCCTCCACAGCTTGAACAGACTTGGTGACCACCTCGAGCTTCTGCACTCTTTTCTTTCAAGGCATCCACAAATGACTCCATGAGGGCAATCATCTTGAGCCCTAGAGTCTCCTTGTTCTCCACATGCTCTAGTAGAAGCATATTTTCCTGAGGTTTATCTAAAAAATCATTGTATTATCCATAAAATCATGATATTATGTCCAGGGTATTGGTGATGCAGGAATAGCTCCAAGGCCCAAGGTGTCATAAAGTTGTAGCACCACCATGGAATACATAGAATGAGACAATTCTGCAATGATCCATTCTGGTTTATTTTGTGCAAAAAACTCAATAAACTGATCTGTACTTGCTTTACAGTTGTTCTGGAGAAGTCAGGACTTCAGAATTTTGGTTCTATTGGCCACCTCCTGTAGTATAGCCACTGTTACAGATGCTTGGGTTTCCTGAAGCCAAGTCAGGGCTCATTCCCTGAGATACAAAGCCTACAGCCTAACACCTGGTACATGACCCTGGCATCATCATAGTAGTAGTTAAGTGGGTAAGATAGTTCCCTCCAATCACAGTTCACTGGGCCCTGCCACTGTCCTCCAGTTCTTCTGACTGCATCAGGAGGTTGCATGGTGGTTGCAGGGCCTTTGGCCTGTGAGTGAACCAGTGGCAAGGATGGCAGCCAGTGTACCTATGCTGAGTGTGGTGGCTGAGAGGCTGCAGAAAAACCAGCCCAAGTCACCCAGCTTAGGAAGCTGCAGTGTATGCAGGATCCCCTGTGCTTCTTCTCCAAAAGTGGGAAATCTTCTCCAGAGGTGAGAAGACAAATGCTTCTGGTGGTTGGGAAGAGAGAGAAACAGAGAGAGAGAGGAAGAGGGAGAGAAGGAGAAACACACACAAGAGAGCCACTTAATGCTGTTGAACACTTCTGACTTGAAAGACATTCTTCTTTCCGTGCCTCTGGCACACATCCTACTGTCATAATCAAATCGCCTGGTCATTTGCACTCTGTTCCTTTATCTATTCTTTTATGTTACTTTTCCTTTTCTTTTTCCTCCCTCCCTCCCCCTTTTCTTCCTTCCGTCCTTCTAGGACTCCTCTGCCTCTGCATTTCTGACATGGTATTTCTCAGGGATTTAATCTCAACAAATATTAATCCTAATTTGTTTTATAGTAACAGAATTAGCAGTTAATGGAAGTTAATTTGAGTATTATGAATTACAAAAAATAAAAATAAAAATTTGAGTTTCCGAATGATGACATTTTATAGGTGAGTGACATGTAGGTTGAGGACAGGCCAGAGGGGAATAGGATGAAACAAAAGGTATGGAACTTAGAAAAATCAAATGATAGTTAACACAAAGATAATAAGGGAAATGGCAAAGAAATTGATTATCATAAGTATGTCTACACTAAGAAAAATTCAGAGAAAATAACATCAAAATAATTGCATAAATTTCATGAAACTTAATTTCAATAGATATTAACAAAAATGTTCATGAAAATTTCCTTTGGAGGATCAAGAGTTATTCTACTGACTCCTTTATGTGATAGGCTTTGTATTGAAATGTGAAGTTACTATGGCAAGAGAAAATACTGGAAGGATTCTTGAGGAAAAATTAAAATGCAAACCTTTTGACTGGTTCTACAATTCTGTATATGACTTTCTATTAGGGTAGAAGAAATATTACTAACGCCACCTATCACCCAAGCAAAAAAGAGATAAATCTGAGAGACTATCAATATGCAAAAATTATTTGAAAACCAATTAAAAAATAATAATAATAATTATAAGTATATACTTAAATTGAATGAAAATATATCTTTCTCACTTAACATGGTTTTATTGAAAATATTTTGTCTTTAACTTTATAGTAAAGTTGATATGAAGAAGTAAGATGAAATACATTCCCAAGACTTATACCATTTTATAAGTTACATTTTTAAGAGAATATTTCCAATTGTAGAATAAATGCACATAAAATCAATTATTATTTATCTTTTGAATTTCATGCTCAAGAATGGAAAATATATTTTAAATAAGAAATTAACAAACTGGAGAAACATTTCAGAATCAAGGTAAATATGGATGGAAACTAAAATTGAGAAAAAAATAAATTGTTCTTTTTTATTGATTATTTTTAGTTATACATAACATTAACATTCATTCTTATATAATTTTAAAAGCATGGAATATAATTTGTTTTAATTCAGTCTCCAGTACTTCTTTTTTCCCTTTCACTTTTCCTCCACATTACTCCCCTCTACTCTACGGATCTTTTGGCTGTTAAATTGTTCTGAAAATACAATTATATAAGAGATGTGAATACAACTTGGGACTAGTGACATATATAAGAGCAAACATAGTTCCAAAGAATAGTCCTGAACTAATGTCAGAAATAGTGGAACCAGAATTAATGACTGATTACTAGGTATTAAAGTACAGAAGTTATTAATCTCAATATTAGAAAAGTTGTTCAAATTCTACAGTTGTCATAGTATAGAGCAAATAGAAAAATCATAGTGATAAATATATTCAAAATAATGTAAGAACATCATCAATATTTTTATAACATTTGTTTTTAACTAATACAAACAAAAATTACACATATTAACAAGATAACATGATGTTTTACACATTTTGTAATGTTTAAATGAGATTAATCAATTATATCTCTTGAAACACTTATCATTTGTTACGGTGAAAATTTCTTCCAGCTTTTTGAAATGCACATTACCTCATTGTTACCTATTGTCAGAAGCTCACCAGGGCTTCTTGTTCCTAATTAAAGGTAACTCAGTACCCATTGATCAGCCTCCTGTCCACTAGGGTATTGTGTAGTGAAGATCAGAGTAAGTAAAAATAATAGGACAAGGGCAGGGAGAGAGGTAGGCAGGGATAAAGGAAGAACAAGGGGAATGGCAAACATTCTGGTGATGAGGTGGACGAGAAAAAAGGAGGAAGAGGAAGAAAAAAGAAGCAGAAACAAAAGCAATAGCAGCAAGAGGAGAAGGACCATTAGAAGGAAGAGAAAGGAAATGGAGGAGAGGGAAGAAAAGGAGTAGGAGAAAAAGGAAGAAAACTGAGAAAGAGGAGGAGGAACAAAAATGAAAGAGAAGAAAGTAGAAGGAGAAGTAAAATTACTACTATCCACTTCACCAAACAAACAACAACAACAAAACACCCTTAAGAAGATCCTATTGTCTACTAAGTGAAAAAGACATGTTTTGCCCTGATTATTCATTAACTTCACACGTGATTAAGAATACACAGTACAAATTTTGCTGAACTTTGTAATTTTTTCTCCCAGGTATCTTAGTTCAACCTTATTAAAATTTTATTTCTAATCTATCATGTATGGCCT